TACTGATACAATAAAGAAACAGCTAAATTTTTGAAAATTAGGAGCTCAGTTGGTTTTAGAGAAGTATTGCTGTACATTAAGCTAGAGCAGGTCTGTGAGAGTAGCTGAAAATATACTTGATAGTAGCAGTCATTAATCTTTCCCCTGAAGGAACGCATAAAAAAGTCCTTTCCTGACTTACTTTTAAACATACTACAATAAGTATCCAAAAATGGCAGTCAAAAGTAACTATCAGGACTGAAGAGTTTACCCTTTTAGGTTAGAGTTAGTCCCATTGAAATTACTTGTCCCAGTCCACGGTATTATCCTAGCTGAAGAAATAATACAGTGGAATTTCCTTAAGAAATGGGTAAATTTAAATTAAAAAATCAAGCCCATATTACTGATTATAGTAAAACCTGACCTTTTCTGAAGGGGGAAGAAAAAAAGTCTAGACAATACTTTGTGCTGACTGTTTGTCATTTAATCAGGATAAGATCAAAGACGTTAGGGGAAAAGGCTGCACCAGCTGAATTTTTGTGTTACAAATATTAATTTGCTCACTGAGGTAAATGTTTTAGGCAAGGTCTTTGCTGTAAAGGAGTTCTGCTTGCTCAGTACTACTGTGAGATCACTGCCATTGAAATTAGTGCAGATTTTGATGGAGTGAGATTGGAATGGACCTTACATGAGTTCAGATAGTAATGGGATAGACACTGCAGATGCTGAGTGTGGGCAGATATGGCACAATATCTGTAAAACGTCCACTGCCTTTTTGGGTGGCATCAGGAGGCTAAGCCCTTAGACTCCTAAAGCAGCACTACATGATGATGTTTAGGTGTCTGAATTACACCTGAATTGTTCTTAATTTTAAACATTTAGGCATGTAGGACTCAAGTACTGAAATCCTCCAGCTACATACAATATGGGATAATTCTTCTGTTGAAAAGTCAGTCAAACTGCATTGATATACAGCAATTTATGCATAAAAATACATGGAAACAGGTATCTGGTTAACATAAATCAGAATGGCTTTTTTAGGCTAAGTAACTTTAAAACACTATGTTCTGTTCCCAGCAGGACAATATACTAGTGTAGGGAGTCTGCAAGTTTTGGTAGAGTTACTGTGTCATAGGGTTACTGCAGGAAATGTGGGAGTTGCTTTGATTGCGTTAACAAAAATTAAGAAAAGGTTCTAAAAGTTCTCTTCTCAGCAAACTGGATTTTTAGCCTTGAAATTTATTTTCCTCTTACAGCTTGTAGTTTAGGGTAAACGAATGCAGTGCTGCACAATGGTTTGCATAGTTACAAATAGTTAAATACAGGTAGTTCTAGAGTGTGTTACCACCTTGTGAACATGTCAAAGTGGTGTTTTGTGGAAACATTTCGGTGACAGCCTTTTTTTCTTGTTTTAAAATGTTTGCTGATGGTGTATTTGAAGAATGGAGAAAGTGAATGAACATGACATTTGTATTTCTTATCTCTGGTCAAGACAGTTATTATAGTACTGTGAGTAAAATTGTTTTTTTTTGTTTTTTTGTTCAGGAGTCCTGCAGAAAGTCACTGTAATATTTGAATTCCAGGTTTTCCATCAAAACATAACTTAGAAGAGCTTTAAGGAATTCATAGGCTTTCTGCTGGCCCTCAGTCCAGGATTTGAGGTCAAAAAAGTAAATTGGAACTAAAATAGTAGCTTTGCTGTATGAGTATTTTTTTTTGTTGTTGTTGTTGCTGTTTTATAGCTAAAGGGGCCTGTTTCTAAATCTCAACAAGTTTTTGTTTTTGAAATGAATTAATCCAATTGAAAAAAGTGGGAAGTACCTGTTAGTTTGAATTGTTTTGTCCAATGTATTCTGTGGTGTGTTATTGATTGTTCTGTCTGGTCTGGCTTTGAAATGCTTCAGACCATGAGAATTTTATCATTCTTCTGGGGCTACTATGTCATCTGAGAGATTTCACTGACAGTAAGTTTTTCCTGATAATACAGGTAGCTCTCTTCTCTGGTTTTGTGATAAGTGACTCCATTATTCTTTGAAATATGTGGGTAATCACTAGACATTCTCAAAAAATTCCTGTCCAAATTGGAAGACAAAGAGAATTGTAGGCTATATAGAGGATAGATAGCAGGAGAGAAAAAAATTTATCAAGTTGGATATCCTTTTTGATTGAAACATGTTTCTGAAGTCTGCACCATACTCATAGTGACACACAATTATGATGGATACTGCTCTTGAGAGACTGAGATGTACTTTTCTAGAGATCTCAGTTGGCTTGTTATTTCATTTTTAAGATACTGACAGTGAAATGACTGAAAAGTGAGACAGAATCTGTCTGCAGAATAAATATGTGAATCTATATATAATTTCAACTTTCTTCCTCTACTACATTTTGTTGTGTTTGTATCCCTTATTTTTGACTTTTATCACATATTGTGAAGGCCAGTGTTCTGCAACAGGATCTTGGCAGGTTGAGAGCTGTGACTGTGAATAATGAGTCAATTATCACTTAGTCAGGGGAAAGGCAGTGATCCTCTTGCTGGCTTGAATGCCATCCTTCCTTCTTCCCCTTCTCTTCAAAAAGTAAGAACAGAAATGGTTGAAATTCAGAACACTAGCAAAGAAATACACCTGTGATGCTTGTCTTCGGATTGTAGTTTCTTTAACTTCAAAACAACTTCTGTGTGGTTTTTTAAATAACATTTTTCAAGTTCATTGCAATTACTGCTTCAGAGGGGCCAGTTATGTGGTGCATGCACTGGGAGGCTGTAGGTGTCAGGAGTTGCTTTGGGCAGCTGAAGTTGGCTCTTACAGGTCCTGAGGGACTGTGCTCCAGGCTGGCAACATAATGTTTAAATCACCTGTCCCCCTTTAATTTATATGGCATGGCCTCATTATGCACGTGGTTGCATAGTAGATTCTCTGTCCACAGAATTGCATTTAACAACTCCTTTGGCTTGCTTAGACATTTTTATTCTGAATTTTTCTTCACAAGCAGTCATGAATCTAGTATCACATTGCAGTGCTGAATGTTTCATCAAATGTATTGTTTAATATTCTAGACCCAATAACTTTGCAATGGTCTTAACCGGGAAAAGGTTTCTGTCAAAAGTTTATGACTGATCTCTTAGGAAAAGGGATAGTGCTTCTAAGCTGTAGGCTGGGGTTGGTAAATGGCACATAAATACTCTGAATGCACTTGATTTCTTACTAGCTCATTTAATCTTTCTAGCTTTTAGCTGTGACAGTAGCTCAGGTGTCCAGAAAATATATAACCTAATAAAGTAAAATTGTCAGCTCATATGTGTGCCTAATTATAACTGCCCAACTATGTGTCATAGGTCTTTTGATGCTAAAAGTGGTATTATTTTCTCTGGAGAACTCAGAACCTATATTTTTGAGAAGGGTGATCCGATTTATAGCCCAGAAGAATGACCACAGTGGTATGCAAGAAAAGCATGGGCTAGTGCAGGAATGTCATGTTTACCCAGAGTCTGTTGGCTCTATGAATTATGCTTCTGATCTTTCCAATGATGATTTCTTTTGTCTCTCTGTTGGTCTGGTGAGAAAAGTGTATGGCTTCCAGAATCTTTTTATCACTTCTCATACAGAAGTGCTCCTGATGTGCACAGGGAGGACCCTGGGTTGCTCCTCAGGCCCTGTTGGTACTCTGCTGGTCTGCAAATGTTCAGCTTCATTATTTGCCAGTACACATTTGGCCCAAAATACATTAATATTCTTTTGTGCCTTGTCAGTCTTTAAGATAAAACTGGCAAGTTCTTAGGATAAAACAGGAAGCCTGTCCTGTTTTACTGCTAAAGTAAAAAAAGAAGGAAGTTTTTTGAGCTAGCCATCTAGTTCTTGCTGTAAAGTAAGGTGAGAGTAAAATTATCTTCAAATAGTGGATGACCATTTTACCAGTCAAGAGTTTAAAATGGATTTTCATGTCTAATACTGCTTCATTTCCAAGGCTTAAAAAGCGAATGTGTTAGAAAACATGATGGCTCGTATGTACTGCTGTATCCAAACACTGTTTTAGGAAAGTTCTTGCAAAAGAAGCAGGGAGAAGAAAGATGTTACAGAAACCTGGGATTTAGGAATTATTCACAAGATCCATCTGTTATTTCAATAAACATTGAAACCTGTTTACTAGGTTGCTCTGGTGTGGTTTGCTTTGTATGAACCCTGACTCTTGTAAGTGTGGACTTCAGGTTATGCCCAGGCTGCCAGCCCTTACTGCATGTCACAGTAACTGCAGCACAGAGCTGTCCCAGGGGATTAATAATTCTTTGCTGTATGGCTCAATGTAGCAACCCCAAAGGCATCATTAAAACTCTCCACAAGAGTTACTTCAATGCTTATAATACATAATTATGCTTTAGAAATGTGGTGCAGTGTTTCTTATTGTTGCAAAGTAAATTTTTCAAACTAAACCCAAAAAGCTTAATTAAATGAGCATTTATTATTCATTAGGAACATGTGGTGTGAAGTTCATTTTAATTGATTGACCTGTAACTGCTCCTTATTTGATAATGGTACTTTTAAAATAAAAAGTGCTGCATTTTTATTTTGGCTATGATTACTTTATTTTTTGCCAGGTTGAAGGAAAAAAACCCAGCTATTCAGTGTGGGTTTGGAAATTCATACTTCCATGCACATAGTAGTCAGCTTCTAGATGCAGTAAGGTGTAACCTTACTGTCTTGCTTTTTGGGGTATTTATATTCTTGGTTGATTTTATGAAGTTTTCTGTATCTTGCATAAGCTTTTGTGATAATGAATTCTTCAGTACTGAGGAATAGGTAGAACTCTCTGCAATTGAAGTTCAAACTGCATATTCAGTTTTATGGTAAAGTCTGGTAAGGTTTTATGCTGAAGTTTTATTTTATACTTTAAATACATGGAAGCTTTCATGAGAGGAAAAATGAATGTCTAAAAAAGTCACTATTAAATGTAATTAAACACATACTTTTCTTTTTCTTGGGTAATGCATTGTGTTATCTGATCTGGTGTGATTCTGCTTGCAGAGAAAGAGGGAAAGACAATTCAGGAAAGTAAAGTGGACTCCTTAAGAAAAAAATGTTCTACTTCTGAATTACCAAACAGAAATAAACAGGATGGCTCACCTGAAAGAAGCAAAGAAATGTGGGTGTCATTTCCACCACAGATGCCAAATGAGAATGAGGTAATGAGTTAACATTTGTCCATGTGGACAAGCACCACATTTAAACAGATGAAAATATGGAGAGATACACTGTCCAAATGTTAGAGGCTAGTGGTATTTATCCTATGTGAGGCAAATATTTAAAATACTACCTAAGTGTTAAATGCTTAGAGAGGCACCTGCAGAGATCGTGTTTGGCAGTGGCATTTGCCCTGCTGAAGAGCTGCCATAATCTGACTAACAAATAAGGCACCCTGCAATGAGCTAAGTAATGCTTTCATTGAAACTGCAGCTTGTGGTAGAGGTTGGCAAAAAGGAAAAAAAAAATCCTGAGAGTATGGATGCCACCAGCATGGACAGATTCATTTTGTTTCTTGTAGATTTTAGGAAGTACAGAGTTCTCTGTTCCTGAAGCTATGTTACTGCCTGAAGTAAACAGTGGGCAGGCCAGGGGCATTTTTGATCTTCTGAAACATAAGGGATTAGGGATTTAATGTGTAGGGACAAGAAAACAACAGACATCATCTGGAAGGAAGGGACATGGGAATCGGAGTCAACTTGTTAAGAACTTCTGCCTTCCTGCCTGAATAACAAATAATTAGGCTGTGATCTAGTCTGTAAAAATCTCAAAATTTCCCTTCATTAAATTTTATTAAAAAAGAAGTAGCAGGTCCTTTTGTGTCTGTTGAGTAACACACTAAAGTGCTTTCAAATGATGGGCCTGCCAGGCCTCAGAGCAGAAGCTGCCACTTTCCTCCTTGCTAGGACATGTCTTCGAAGTAGAATCAAACAGGGCTTTTAAAACAATGATGTTCTGTCAGTTGATTGTGTAATAATAATGACAATATTTTTTTGCTATTTTTTCATAAGAAGTTTTGGTTCCTCATTGGTATAATTTGTCCCTGTGTCTCTTACTTTAGCCACATTGAATTGTCTTTCTGCCACATAAAGCAATGTACAACTTCCGTTATCCTTTATGCAATGGAACTTCCATAAACCTTTATGTATGTTTTTGTTTCTAAAAAAGAAAAAGGTTCAGACATGCCTGCACATTTTTGTCACATTAGCAGTTTAAGAAACAAATACAATAATAGCAGAATGCAGCAGAAAAATTGCAATGTAGTAGCAGGAAGAGGCCGTAGTACATTAAGTTGACCACTGTAACCTTTAAGCCTGCCCTGGGAAAGGAAAATGGGGGAAACAGTGCTATTGAAAACAGTGCTACTGTTCTAAATGCTGCTTTTTAGGTATGCTGTGATTACTTGCACTGTTGTTCCATTTGATTTAGTCTGGTCCTGTGTAGTTTTTCAGAGAATTACCTGTACCTGTTCTATTTTCAGGAGCATTCCATTCACTTTTTAAAAGTTTTTATATACAACATCTGTAAAGCTGAGTAATGTGTTCTAGGGGAGCCTTCTTGTTCAAGGTGACCTGCAGTGGTGCCTTCCAACCTTACCTATTCTGTGATTCTGTAAACTGTGTATAAATCAGTAGGAGCTATGTGATTTTGATTCTGTTTCATGCATGTAAGTATTTCTGCCTATCTATCTACAGGCAGTGATGAGTGAGTGCTCAACAGCTGGTGTCTCTGTTGGAAATGATCTCAGTCTGTCTGAAAAAGTGAAGGTGAGGTTTTCTTCAAAATGGGGATTATGAGCAGAACATGACTGATTTTTCATGTATTAATTTACAAATTAGTTGCAATTTGCTGATGTATTTCCCATCTGTGGGAAAGAAGAATGAGACCAGTCCATAATTTTTTCTGATCTTAGTGAGTGTGTACTTTTAAAGTGTAAAGGTTATGTAAGTCTTGAGACTTTTCAAACCAGGTTCAAAAAAAAAAAAATCTGAGAGCATCTTTAATTACTTCATGGAAACACAGAAGAAAATCCAGGGCATGTAGTCAATCCTCCATGGTAACACTCTTTGCAGATAGGCTGGCAAAAACCTTTCATTCTCACCCTGTGCATCTATTCAGAGTGGTACCTGAAATGAGAAATGTCTTGTCTTTGGATATGTTTTAAATAGTTTAGATTGTTCAAGGGACATTAGCCTGAGAAAACAGTAGAGTGAAGCCCCAGGTGAAATACTAGAAATGTAATAATTCTTCGGGTTTTTTTTTCCCTAATCAATTTACCATTAGTGTCAAAACAGAAGGATCAAGCTCTAGTTTGCCTACAGCATGTATTCTCTTTGTGTCATATGAAATGAGCTTGCAAAATTGCATAGTAACTTATCATGCATCATTTTCCTATGATAATATTTTACTTCTCCATCTTCCCACTAAGTTCCTGAGAAACTTACTGTACAGCTTGAGCTTCCTTTCCATCACTTATGTGGCAATTTTGGCAGTAAATCTTTGACTATACCTAAAACTACTTCCTTTGGGTTACACATTTCGAAGAAAACTCATATGCTTTCTTGGAAAAACACAGGGGAAAATGGAGAAGATGAAGTAGACAATTTAATGCATTTTTGCTTTGCTCTAGATTGTACTATAAGGAATAAAATTGATACATTTTTATCTATTTTCCGATTTGGGTTTTCATGGCAGGTGGACAAGTACTTACACTTGGAAGATGTAGACACAGATGAAGAGACATGCAGTGGTAGGTTTCGCCCCTTCGTATTCACCATTGTTTTCTGTCTTCGAATGCAAGTGTGTGAACATTGATTAAAGAACTGCTTCTCCCCTAAAAGAGATGCTCTTGCTCAGTTCTTCTATTACTAGAATATTCCCCACATTGCCCCAGTTCCCCAAACCGAGGTACGAATTTCCCCACTCTAAGAGGTAATGAAATAATAAATTAAGAGGAATATTTATTGTACTTTGTCCTGGTGCAGTTTATTTTTTTTCCAAGCTTTTCTAGAAGTGCAGAGTGCTTCTTGTTAGCAAAATCTCTCCATATTCATGCATTTCTATTGTGTATTGAAATTACAGCCATTACAAAAGTTTTTTTTGTAAAGTAATGTGGGTGCTAAGAGACAGTGCTGTAAAGTGGAAATATTTAATGAAAATGCTGTCCCTACCTATTAAAACAATATCATCCTGGGCTTCAAATAGATTAGACTGATTCTGAATTCACAGTGAACTTCATTAAAAATTCCAATTAGGAGCATTTTGAGTTGTGTTGAACTCTTCTGTACGTCTATAATAATTTTAACTCTCCCACCTCCAAAAAGTAAATGGAATGCTAATGTCTATAGTTAGTTGTCTATCATAGGTCCTTCTTTGGTCTTTACATACAGAAGTGACAACCTTTTAGTGTTTAAATTAATTTTCCTCATCTATACCTGTGACTGTACAAGGAAACCAGGCCACACAGATTAAGGGATTTGCTTGAGGTCACACACAGAAGCTGCAGGGCTTTGATGCTTGGTTTCTTAGCTATTGCCACTTGATTGATCTCTCCACTCTTACAGTGAAGTTTTGATTAGTCTTTCCTTTCTGTGTGTCCTGAATTCCTGTGAAGTCTGAGGGCTTAGAGACTTCCAGTATCTCACAAGAAAATAATAAACCAATGTAAGTCAGGTTCACAGCAAATATTCTTTCTCCAACCTTTCAGAAAAGAGGAAGTAAAACAGCAGTCCCAGATCAGGTACAAATGTCAAAGATTTTTTTTTTTTGAGTGCAGTGTTCATATGTGCCCATTTTTCCCTTTGTAGAGCATTGTTCTATGTTTATGTCTTAAATTCTGGCATTATCTATTAAAAAGGCCCTGGAGTTTACTGGTGGAAGCACAAACCCACATTTCATTTGTGTTATAATGAAAGGAGAAATGCCTGTAGCCAGTTCATTAAAGTATTGTTAGATATTCATTATTCCAAACAGGCCACAAAGTGGTTGATGAGAATTAAGCCCAATGCTAAAATACCACGCAGAAGGGTGAGGAAGAACAGCTCTGCTGAAACTTAGTGCATTCAGTACTGTGACAGACCTTGCCTCTCTCCATCTTTTGGGTAATTTCTGTGTATTTGTGTGTGTCCAAGGGTAAATGCTAATCACATACATATGGAAAACCCTGGTAAAACACATTTCATTTCAGGCAGATTGCCTCAGTGAAGATTGAGATTGTATCAACAATCCTCACTAACTACGTTAGGCTTTTAGATTGTGTTTTGTAACATTGAAACTCTGCCTAGCCAGAAATTAATTGTTCCTTCTAAATGCTGCAAGGAAAGTGAACAACATCCAAACTTATACCTGGGGAACCCTGGTCTTTGAAGATAGTTGTTGAGTCAGGCTAAAAAATTTCTCCTTGACTCCTGAGTGCAGAAAATAGCACTTATGGTTTGATAGCTGTCTTACATGTCAAAATCCACTCAATAGCTTCATAGTAAGAGAGGTAAAATCTTAGTCCTGTAGAAACCATAGCAACAAAATGCAATTTAAAATATAAAATTATGTCCCTTCTATTGCTTGTAATTATTAAGGTAATCTAGAATAATATCACTAGTGAATACCTTAATGAAAGATTAATTCTATAGCATTACAGTTAGTTTATAAATGAGGTAAATTGTGACACAAATTAGACATTCTGTTGTTGACCTTTTTAAATGCTGCCACCTTATATCAGAACAAATGATTGATTTAAGACTTCATATTCTCAAAACAAGCTTAAAAATATCATAGCTTATTTTACCCAGTAAAAAATACCATACCTTGCTAGTAATTGCAACAAGCCTTTATTTCTCCTTGTTCTTGGCAGCAGTTCAATATTTCTGTGCTTCACTTAGCTTTAAAAGGCAGATCAGTTAGCTGAGTTAGCAACTGTACATTAATACAGTAAATATTCACATTTAAGGGCAGTTGGCTTAAAGCTGACTGTATGAGAAGCACGATAGAAAATAGGTGTTAAAACATCCCGTGTAACCAGTGCTGTTTGGCAGATATCCTGGAAGAGTCATTCCAGTGATGTTTTTTTTTGTTTTTTTACCAATTTATCTAGCAAAGTTCAGTGTCCTTTAAGGTGTGAATGAATGCGACTGCTTCTTAGGAGTAGGAAAAGCAGCCCACAGATTTGGCCAGCATGCAAATTCATGGTAGCTGCTTTTGTTTGACAGCACTGGGCTGAAAGCTTGAAACAGGGGCAATGCTTGCCATTGTGGGACTTTGGCACCATAAACCATGATTGGCAAAGTGAAATTGCTGCCCTAAACCACAGCCTTACTGCATTGTGTAGAGACAGCATGGACATGGTGTACTGTAATCACTCTTTCTCCCTGAATTTAATCTCTAACTGTAAGGAGCTTAAGGCAACAATAGAGATGATCAGGCTCTCCCCAGGGATGGATGGATGCTGCCTACATTTTGGCAACAGGACCTTCCAGGACTGCTTACAAACTTCTAGATGCGGAGTTTGGGGGATATCTTGGTAATAATAGGTAATATTTGAATAAAGTACCAAACATGTTAAAGAATATCTGGAGATTTTGAGTGCTATTGTTTAAATGCAAGAGAAAATTAAAACAGGACTAATTAAATGTGTGGGTGAGGCTTCATAGGCAAGGATATAATTGTCTCATCCTAATCCAGCTTGGAGCACTGAAGTGCTGCAAACTTGTCTTTTCAATGTCCCAGTTGTCTGTAACACTGCAGAGGCTGAGGAGAACCTGATTGATTGACTCAGTTACTTTGAAGCTGAGGCCAAGCATAACTATTGATTATTTCAATAGTTTTTTTGGCAAATTATATCAACATCTGTTATTTTTCATAATCTGTGCCTCTCCATTTATGTTTTGAGCCTATCCTTACATCCAGAAAAATCATGTTGAGAAAGAGGATTCAGAGTTAAATGAGGTGGATTTTTTAAAGTATGGGGCTCCCCCCCCAGCTGGTGAATCCCTTTCTTGTTTTTCTTCTCCAGTCTCTGCAATCCATTTAACACTGCCTTGAGATGATTTCACACTAGGCAGCTCTTTGGGACTAACAGCCTGAAGCATGAGAATTAGAGGAGACTGCAAAATTTAGCTTTTAAGCTTTTTTTGTTATCACTCTCTTCTCAACTCCCCATCAACAGCATTTTTGTGAAATGTAGTGTCTGAAAGTGGTAAAACCTGTGTCAGTGTATATATAGCTGTCAGTGTATATATAGATGGGCATCATTTGGCTACAGAAAAGTTATAGACAAAACTTTGAACTCCCTCACTCTTGAAAGTTAAAAGCGGACTTGTGCCAGTAGATTATTTTTTTCTATACTCACAATTGATGTCTATGATACAGAATGAGCAAAAAACTCCCAATTCAGCAGTGTTGACAGATTTAGTAATCACTTTCTGGGATGTGGTAGGGAGGGACTAAAGAGTATTATTGTTCACTTTCCAAATATGCTGTTATTAAAGTATTCTGGACTTCAGTAAAATTGTCAGCCATATCATCCAGGGAGTTGATTCTTCATGGTATGAGAGGTGCATTTCAAAATGTCTTCTCAGTTCTTTTGGTATCACTGCCTGTTCAGCTATCTCTATATATGGTGCTGTTGGCAATATCCAAGGCTTTCCTGTTGCTAATTAATCACCTCCACAGAGAACATAATTAGCAGCTTAATTAGGATCATCATCCAGTAGTGCTGTAGCAGCAGCTTAAACAAGCTGTGAGGTACTGGCTAGAACTTACAATGGCCTGGAGTTCCTTTGGGTGCTCCCACTGAGAAGGACGACTGTCAAAACTCTCTAATTTTTCCTCTCTGAAGGGGTTTCTTTATTAAACATTATCAGGGAAAGCAGCGTTTACCAATTAGACTTTCATATGCTGTCACACAGCCAGGATATAGAGAGACAAAGCTCATTTCTGGCATGTCTACTGGCAAACAAAGGTTGATTACATTCTTACAGGGTGATTGAAGGGAAATTGAAACATTGTTTGCATTACTAACAAGCCTTAAAAAGTGGAATTGACATTCTCAGTATGACAAGCACTTCTTGCTGAAAGCAAAAATAAATTTCCTTCTGTTGTCCCAATTCTTAAGAGTTATCTTTCTGAGCCATTGCCAGGCTGTTGCATAACAGTGCTTCCTCCTCACCTTCTCTCTGCAGATGGGTCTGTTGAGTGAGGGGGAGAAGCTCTTAGTGCAGAAATAATCAGTGTTTATATCAGTAGGTGATAAAAACCTCCTGGTGTCCAGACTTCCCTTATTTTAGTAAGAGTATAGAGCTAGGTTGCAAGTTTGAAACAATAGTGGAAGATGCCATTGTCTTTAAATGAGCATTCCCATCTTCCTTCTGTCCTATAAATACTTTTGACCCAAATGATGATAAAAGCAGCTGCAGAGCATGTGTAGACATAGCCTAGATACCTGTGGACTGTGCTGTCCTTTTCAGAAAGTTTTCTCATATAACTGGTGCAGAATCAGAACAGATGCTATGCTGAGAACAAGGACTGAAAGCACTTACATGGCTGGAGATAGACATAAGCAACTGAAAGAATAGGGGTGAAAACAAACTCACTTAAAACAAGAGATGAAAATCCAGAAATTAAATACCCAAGGGAATTAATGCAACTCTTTCTAAAAGAACGTTCTACTTTCCAATTTGAAGCCCTGCTGGCTTTTAGATAGTACACTATTCCCACAAGAAAACTAAATGAAGAATTTGATCATGGATTTTTTATGGAGACCTGGGAAATCTTTATTTCCAAATGCAGGTTCACAGGGGAATGAGAGGTCTGGAACTCCACTACTGTGGTAAAATTGTGCAGGTAGAGATAAGTAGACACTTCATCTGTTTCACCCTGGATCTATGTACTCTCTTGTTTCTTCCATTAACTAACATTTAAGTAGTGCTTTGAAAATTTATTCTGAGATTACAAGATAAATGTAAATGTAGTATAAAACTGTAAAGAAACTTGTGTATCAGCTGAAAAAATAGTAGGTAGATTTACATAATCCTTTGACTAAATTGCAAGACATATGGTCCCCTTAAGTTCTTTCATAAAAACATTACTGAGACATGATGGACACATCTGTGCTGTGGCAGAGCTGAGATTGATTCATGTTAGAAGATATTTCTAAACCTAAGGCATATCCTTCTGATCTGTCACAGAATGCAAACCCACAGGTCCTGGTATGAATGTTTTGCTGAAATTTGCAAAAGAAAAGTGATTCAGAAAAGCTGTTAATTTGTGAACTGTGGAACAAATCCTGCCTGTATGGAAAGGTTACATGTCACTCCATCCCAGATAGGGGGAAGTCCTCTCAAGTACCTCTTTTTGGAAAGCTCAGGGAGAAACAAACATCTGTGAAATACCCTTAGACAAGAGAGTCATCTGGCACTGCAGTGGGGAATATTAGTAGTTCTACCAGTATTTTTACTTAATGTTCTGTGAGAAGCATACTAAGATGCTTTACAATGATTCTTTATGCCCAATGTACAGGTGGTGAAGCTCTAGCTAAAGAGAAATGAATGACCCTGCTCAGCTCATCAGTGGCAGACAATGTGTTTTATAACTTCTACTGCAGATGTCTCTGCTGAGGACCTTCATCTTTGTTCTGAAAGGAATGTAATATCAGGTGCTCTCTGAGTTTAAGAGCATCTGCATCCAGATTTTAATTCAGCACCCTTAGGAAAGAAGAGCTACCTATCTGTTTTCAGACAAGTTTGATTTTTCCTTAGTTCAGTATTACTACCTAGATTTTAGCTCAGGACTGCGTGGCTCTGTTTTAATGATAGCTTATGCAACAATAACTGCATCACACTCTGACTAACAAGCTACTGCCCATGTCTGAGCACTAAAGGATTCTAGCAGGATTTTGCTAATTTATGCATCTAGTGGAAGGTTAATGTTGACTCCTTTTTATTCAGCAGCGTCATTAGTTCTTCCTGGAGAGGTGGAAGAGACAGTGAGTTGCTGTACACCCTTCTTTGATAAGCCTATTCAGCCGAAGTTCAGAGCCTGGTCAGTTCCCCAGCCATCAGAAAGCAAAGCCCAAGAGGTATGAGGTCAGATGTATTCATTCAGACTTTGGGGGTTTGGGGTATTTTATTTTTCCTGTTGGCTTCTACTGTTATTTCCACAAGAACAGAGGGATGTAGATGTAGTATGTGAAACTGCAGTGAGTTAAAAATGCATATTATTAATTTTTAAATGAATAATGAATTCTTAAATATGTTAAGAATTGAAATAAACACTATTTTATCTTGCACACTGCTGCTATATAATCTTACATTTTCAAAATGTGCACTTCAATACTTCAAGTGGTATGTGGGCTTTTTAATATTTAATTTGTGTAACTCACAGAATATTCAAGTAAGCCTTTGCCCTTTAAGCCTTTTAGCTACCCTTGCTTATGTAGAATGATGGACCATTTAATTTTCCAGTGATCTCATGATCTTATGGCATACTCGTTGGCTTAATATAGGAGCCAGTTTTTGCAGCAGGGAGGTAGGAAATGATCCCTTGAACATGACACTTAAAAGAAAAAATAAGATTTTAGAATATATTGTGGTCAGAATTAAGAGCTGGTCCCTTGGAACTGAGTAGTAGCAAGATGCTGCTGAGAAACTGCATTGTCAGGGTCTGGTGTGGAGAGGTTGGCTTTATGGCCTCTGAGCCTTTTAATCAGACACAGTCAGTGCAGACTAATTTAGAATTGTCGTCTTCCTTCAGAAATTCAGTTCTTCTCAAACTGCAACAGAAGGTGTGGATTGCTCACAGGCTTATTTTAAGTCATTAAGCTTCCGATCCAAACAGTCAGCGTGAGCATTAACTTTGGGGGTGTTTCTATTGCACAGAATTCCTCATTGCTCTTTTCCCCTGCTTGATCATTGCAATAGAAGCTGAAGTTAGCTTCCAGCTAAAGTGGGCCAGTTTTGATAGCTTCATATGGTTATTGATGCTCCCATGAGGCTTAAATCAAGTTTATAAATGACGCGTGACCAATGAAGGTTTGGTGTTACAGCACTGCATATGGTGCCTCCTTTCCTGGGCTCAGTTGTGTTTAGTTCCTTGCAATAAACTCTTTACTATAAGGAACAAGTCTGCTTTGGGAAAAAGTAGACGCTCTAAAATGACCTTTCAAGCTTTAATACCTACCATTCTGTGAATAAAAATACTCACTCTTTTCCCTAAGGATTGACATAATTCAAGGTTTTGCCTTTAGATATATCCATTGGACACAAAATAACACCCAAAAAAACTAGAATGAGGCTTTATAACTTTCTTATTTCATAACTTCTGTAGAGAAAATGGAGGGTTGTAGCAGCCTGCAGTGTTCATAAAGGACTGCATATGATTCTTTACACTATAGTTCATGAAAAATAGATAAAGATCCGACTGCATGCAAAATTCATTTCCATTTGAGGGAAATTTGGGTTATGAAAGAAACTGAGTATTATTACATTGGCTATGAGTTGCTGCATTTTTCAAGAAGAAAGACAATTTCCACAACCATTTGGTTGGTGCCAGGCTACTTAAAACGAAGGCAGCCTTTCCCCTAAATTATAAACATATTTTTGCCTTCATTTAGATAATATAACTGTGGCCTGATTTTTAGAACCGTCAAGACTGAACAGGTCTATTTTAAAGTCCCTCAGTGCTTCAAATTGTCATTGCCTTGAAAATTAAGTCTTGCATTGCTTATGGCAGGACTAGTTTAGAAAGAGAAAAAGATTTTCCCTGCAGACATCTCTGCTTTAAAATGAGACTGTTCTCTGTCCATCAAAACAAATCTGTTAGGGAAGGGCAACATAATGTGGCTGCCTAATTGGTTTTCTTAGAATGGAAGACCATTCTGTATGAAAAATAACAGGATGAGAGATGTCTATTCTATGGAAACACTTGTGAGGCACTTTAGGGTAAATTGTGTATCTCTCAACATATTGCTAGGGAAAGTTTAAAAAAAGAAGCTCAGCTAAGACCCAGTTTATAACTTGGATAATTGTTAAAGAACATCTTGTCTCCCTGAAAATATTTTTCTGTCAAAAGTTGTTAGGAAGTGGCTTAGTGAATGACACAGCAAATTATTTGTATGGTCCACCAGTGTTGCTTCATCTTTCTTTCCTCCCTTTAGACATAAATGTATTTCAGGATTTCAGTTCAACAGTGGAGCATACATGACCTCCCACAGGCCACTGCAAATTGAACCAGCATTCATTATGTCCTTGAAGTACATCATCACAGAACATTTCCCTCCCATACCCAGAAATTTATTTTCTCCTTTATTTCTACTTAATATATTTTTCTATATAAGATATGGATTTTTATTAATATCTTTATGTATTTTTATGTCTCAATTCCTGCTTCCTTGTGTCTTAATTAATTCTTATTTCCTTCTCTGGGTACACATGAGTGCAGTTGCATTGTTTTCATCCACTTGCTACAATTATGCATTCAAAGTGGGATTCATCTCACCTAACTTCAGTTTTAAATGTAGTTTTAGTCTTCCAGTCACCAAGAGACAGAAATAAGCAACTGCAGAAAGTGATTAATCCCCCTTGCTGTAGGAATTTGTTGCAAAATGTAATATATTTCCATCCACAAGCTTGGCCTGGACTATTTTTGGCTAATTGACTACCTTGGTCTAGAAACCTAAGTTTTGTATGGCTGGGATTAAGAAAGAAGAAATCTGCCCTTCTTTATTTGTCTGTAGTTTGAGCATTCAAAAAAGTACTTAGCATGTCTGTCATTTTATCTTAATCTGTGGCATGGCAGCTTTTATTCCCTAAAATACAACTTCCACTGAGTTCCATTGGTTAAAGTTTTACTGCTCGGCCTCAGCTAAGGTTTGTTTCTGCTACGTGCTACGCATAAATGCAACAGGAGCACGGTAGAACTTAAAGACAGGATTGACTAAATCAAAGAAGATGGAAGAGTTATATCTTCTCAGAGGCCAGTAAAGACACAGAGATTGAATGACTTGTCCAGAATGATGAAGCAGAAGTGGAAAATTGGCCAAGATTTATTGACTTCTAGTCCGGTGCCCCAAGCTCAAACAGGCTTTTTTTCTCCCAGGTACTCCAGGCTGTACTAAGCTTATATGAGATCATAGCATATATGCCTTCCCCCCACTTCTTTTTTTTATTTATTTATTGTTAGTGAACTAGTAAGTTTTCCCTTGAGCATGCAATGAAATCACTGGTGAGTGTACGTGCAAGCTTTACATAATTTGAACAAGTGAATCACAGAGTGCCATAATTTCATAGAAATACAAGTTTTAGAAGGACAGAGACAAGCTGTTCAGTTAAGTTTAACTTCTCACAGATTAATAAAAGAACTGAGTTGCCAATTATTAATAGACTTCTACAAATGTCAACTTCAAGGTATTTTATTTACAATGTTACTTGGTAAAACAACCTCTAGCAAAATATTTCAGTTAATAGGAATATTAAATTCTTTCCTTCCTTTAATTTGGATATGCAGGAACTGTAAATGAAAGTGATTTTTTTCTTCAGAGAGTAAATCACAGAAGCAATCTTAAGCAAACTGGCAGTTTTCTAATAGAGCAGGAGTCTATTCCCAGAGAGCTCTCAAAAAGATTTCAATTAGATGTTAAATTAGACACCTGAAATTCACATATTTCTCTCAGTTCCTTAGGCAAAAATAACAAGGTAATAACTTGATCAGCTCAGAGAATTCAGTGTTCTATCGTAAAATGTCTTCCTTTTGACACAGAACAAAATTGCAGTTTGCAGTTTATAACTTTTAGATTGCTTGTCTTCATCGAAGTTTGAAGTCAATGGCTTCATGGAACAAGAAGAAAAAAGGAATCCCTAATTTGAGTATTCATTTGAGAGATGAAGCACACTGATAAATATGCAGTGTGAATAAACTTTTCAAATGTGCAATGAGCGGGTAACAGAGAAATTGTTAACAGAGTGAAGTGGGGTATGTTTCATTTTGGCATCTTATTTCAGTTAGCATTGTGGGGTCAAGTTTTGTAAACAAAAGTTTTTCCAGTATTATGCTGTGTCTGCATAAAATGTTCCTGGAATGACATGAATGCCAAGACAAGGTCAGAGTGGATGTGTATACTTTCTTTTGGCAGGGGAAAATAGATTTGCTTTTGTAAAATTCCTATAAAGGCTTACTGTAGTTTGAACTCTTCTTAGCTCAGTTGCCCTAGATGTGTGTCATGGTTTAACCCTGGCAGACACCAAGCCCCACGGCCACTCACTTGCTCTCCACCAGCAGGGCTGGGAGTGAATCACAAGGGTAAACTGAAAAACTCACAGGTTGAGATAAAGACAGTTTAATAGGGAAAGTAAAAGCCTCACACACAAGCAAAGGAGTTAATTCATTGCTTCCCACGGCTGGTGCTCTGCCACCTCCAGGAGAGCAGGGCCCCACCACGTGTGACAGTCACTTGGGAAGACAAAGCATATCCCTCCAAACTCCCCTTTTCTCCTTCTTCCTCCTGCTTTATGCACTGATGATTCCACACCCACGTGGTGTGGAATGTCCCTTTGGTCAGCTGGGGTCACCTGTGCCAGCTGTGTCTCCTCCCCTGCACCCCCAGCTCCCTCCCCACCATGGCAGCATGGAAAGCAGAAAAGGCCTCGGCTCTGTGTGAGCCCTGCTCAGCAATAACAAAAACATCTCTGCATTATCAACCCTGTGCTCAGCACAAATCCAAAACACCTAACCCCCATACCAGCCACTATGAAGGAAATTAATTATACTCCAGCCAAAACTAGCACAAGATTGTAAAAAAATATTGTTACAACCAAAATAACTGAAAAATATTCATTCCTTGTATTGTATTTTAGAAGAGTGCTTTGGATTTCTGCAAATGAAAGACCAGTAGTAGAACCCTGGTTGCTGCTACCATTTGTTACACAGTTGCTGGTAATCTTACTGATGAGGAATTCTACGAGGCTTTGGTTGTGGAAAAGATGAAAATGAACATGAATATGCTGAGGAGGTCAAGGAGTTGGCTTTATCTCTAATGGGAATGAGAGTTTGTGTGCAGGCTTTGTCTCCTGTTAACATCTTTCAAGTGGGCTATTTATAAAATTTACTGATGGTTTAGCTAGTCTATGGACATGAGCAAGATAATCTTTGTGTGCAGAATAAATAGTGCTTTCTAGACCAACTCTATCTACAAAGTTCTCCCCATTTATAAATGCCCATGGTCCACTCATCTGTATCCAGGATTATTTGGCAGCTCCAGCATGTAAGCCAGATCCCTAGAAAACTGAGCAGTAGAGATGATTAATAGAGTTATATAACCCCAAAAAAACTGTTTCCTGATTATTCATGCAAATTACAGTTTATTAAGAAAGAATATAGATACTGCCCAGATGCTTTCTGCCATGTCTGTCAAGTACTCGGCCACCAGAGAGGAATCCAGCTACCAATTCTCTGACTTATTAGATGGCATTAACTGTGTCAATGCTTCTTCTTACCAAAATGTCACATCAAATTGTGCAGGATTGTGCCTTCTAAACTGAGCAGCGATCATGGGATGCTGAGTGTTCTTCCTGCTTTTCAGAAAGTACATGTGTATTCTTAATTTCATATATATCAGTAGTCACGGGATTCATTGAGGACTTGTCAAAAGCTTGAAAAAATAAGCATGTGTTTAAATATTTTGCTTATTTGGTGCTGAAGTACTTAAATCTTTGAAATATATTTCTAGACGATTTATATTAACTTCTCAAGGGATAGGGAGCATTCCTACATAGTTTTAATACTGAAGATGTGTCTCCTTTGTTGCCCTGGAATTCATTTTATGTAACTGCTTAGCATAAACCTTTCTTGTCATGGCCCCCTGCAGTTTCTTATCAGCATGGAGCCTGCCATAGTTATTTGTTTTCGTTGTTTTATTTCATAGGCAGAGTGTTTATTCTAAGATATTTCAACCAGAGCAATGCAGAAATGCAATACAGTATGTCAACAAAGCACATATTGGCAAATGCAGTAAGATTCTTATGTTCACCATGCAAGAAATGCAAACTCACATATCTCTGAGATGGTGGAAAAATTATTGGAGTCTGAAAATTGATTAGGTGTCATTTTGCTCATTGTAGGCCTTTCCTTCACTGAAACTGTGTTCTGGGAAGCATGTTACATTAGTATCAGATGTGTGTGTGCTGCAGCTTTATGTAATACTAACCCAAATTTTGACAATATGGAATTTGTCTTTGAAATTTAACATAGCTGCATATAACATGTCCATATCCCCCCAGCCTTGCTGCTGCAAGTGGCAGAAATATAATAGATGTGTGCAAGGGAGGTTTTTAGATTCCTTGCCTTGAGCAAAATTAGTTAATGATATTCATTCAGATACAGTACAGTACAAATGGGGCACATTAAATGGCTTAAATTAGGTCAAATTGAATAATTGAATTTATTCTTTTACTTAAAAAGAGCTTAATCAGCTGAGAGTGTTAGAGTCAGAAAAAAATAGTTTAATTAAATATTAATTAGAAGTTTATTTTTGAGCTTCCTTATTATTCAGCAATATTATGTGTCTGTTTTTCCTCATTACAGCTACTGGGCGATGATGTTCAGCCATTCTCCCTTGATGAAGAATTTGATTATGACAATGTGGCACTGACCCCTAAGTTCTCTGAAGCTGAGCTGAAGGCCCTTACAGAGTTGTCTGAACAGAAAAGTGGTACAGATGTCAAATCAGCACCAGCTGAAGACTGAGTCGAAGGTGTTGTGTGCAGGGCTGTTGGAATGACCTTTTCATGGGATGAATGTAGCTCCTTGTTGTACCCTTATTTAGTGTTCTTATCTGTGTGGCCAGTGAATGGCATCCCTGAGATTTGTCATTATTCTGTCAAGGTGCCTTGGATCCTGCACTGGCTCAGGGTAGGTATGCTGGAGTGACTTCTCCATAGGAGCAAAACAAGCTGGTGGAATTCAGAATAACATCGTGGCTACTCGTGCTTATATCTGGTACTGATTTGGTTCCTGAGTAGTACAAAGCTGGTCCTAAAGCTGCCTTTTACGTCGTTCTTTTAGTAATGCAATTAAGAGCTTTTTAACAGCTGACAAATTAGTCTATGAGCTCTTTAAATGTATAGAGAATAAATTTGGGAATATTTTTTTTTCTCTGTCTTTTGAGTTACTTCAGTTCTGAAAAAATAAATATTTCTGTTTCCAACAAACGTCTTGTGTTGATCAAAATTGATGTGGTACAACTCCTAAAATTAAAACAGTAACTGCTCAAACCACCCCCCCTCCACCTTCCACACAGAGGAAAAAATAGCAATCTCATCCATTAAAGGAATTGGCATTGAAAGGCTGTCAGATTTTAGATTTTTTCACAGGAGATGATTCCAAATAACAGCTTATAGCTTACACTCTGCATCACTGAAATATAAAAACCTGGAGTTGAGTAAAAAGTCAGCTATATGGGTGGGAGAGAAGAGAGTGCACCCCTGATACAAGGTAGTACTTACTCCTTCTCTGAGAGTTCAGAATCTTTTGTTTTCAGTAACTGTAGAAGCTTTGCCGTTGAGGTCTGGTTTAACATCACAATGCTGCATTGCATTTTTGGTCGTTTTCTGGTGTAACTGCATTCACTAAACCTTGCTGACCAACATTTTGTCCTTGACCTCTCTCTATTATTTCTGAAGTGGGTGATTAGCATGATAAATGCTAATTTATCTGCCTGAGCAGCCTGACAGGGCACCAAACCATAGGTTTGTGTAAAGGTTGTGGGTGAATTTTCTGTGGCTGGTTGGCTGCTTCATTGTCAGTAATTTATAAAAGCAAAGGAAGGTCTTCTGATGTTCTGAAGGAGACTTTCAGGATTAGTGATTTTGTAAGCCATAATCATGCTCCACTGAAATCCGACTAGCATTGGTTTAGAGGAATGGTATTTACTTTGATTAGGGGATATAATTTAAGAGTGAGATTTGAAAAAAAAAAAACCAAAAACAAACCATCAGAAAAGAAAGAGCTCTCACAGAAGATATTTAAGGAGACTGATACAAAATTACAAGTATGTCCTATAGAAAAACTGGTTTGTACAGGCCCTTGCTTGTAGAAGGTAATGAGAATTTTTTTAACACCCACACTCAAAAAAATGCTTGTGCTGTAGTTAAAATGTTTTTTAAAATGTAATTGGCTGTGTAGCAATTCTGCTGGGTTTTCTGATGCTTTTTTATATGTGAATTTATTTTAATTCAATAAACAGTTTTGTTGGACCCAAGGTATTTTAAATTAAATGGTTTAGATCCAACTGGAGTTTTCCACTGAAATCCTAAAGTTAAACATTTCTGAACAGATCTGATTATTAATTCATCTTCTTCTGAAGGATACAGATAATGTGTATAAATCAGAAGGATAAGAAGTAAGTTCTGGAAGAGCTCCATAACAAATCTGGGAGAAAGAAATGGAGAAGTGCTGCATAGTGATAGCAAGGTCAGCCTTTGAAAGCCTCAACAGAAAAATAAGGGAGACAACCTCATTAACATATGTATGTATAGGAAAAATAAAGTAAGGAGCCTTCTGTCTGAGAGACCTCTCTGTACAGGGTTTGCTATCCTGCACGCAGAGAATCAGCCATAGAGGTGAACATTTGTGGCTTTGTGGAATGGTGAATTAGGTGCTTCTTGCTGTGTGGTTTTTTTAGAAAAGCATGAGTCACACAAACTAGAGATCAGTCCTGTGGGAATCCTATTGCCTGTAGAGTTGATGAGAAAACTTGTCGAAGGGTTTATAATATTCTTCAGGCCACATCAGCTCTGGAATCTCTTAAATGCCTTTTCTATTCATTTCATTATCAATTTTTCACTGTACATTAGGGATACATCCAGCCATTCCGTTCCTTCTCTCATAAGCAGATGATTGTTACCAAATGTTCAGGGTGCCTACTATGCTCCATAAGTGTCATTCAGTATAGTCATTATATGGTTTCCTTTGATATAAAGAAACACTTTGCTGCAGAATACCCAACAAAATTGGAACTCTTTAGTGACATTCATCTTACACAGAGAAATGGGAATAATTCACTTACATTTAGACCACTCAGGAGCTAGATTTTTACTCTTTGTTAACAGGCATGAATATCACAGTGAAGATTAGGCAATATAGGCTATTTTCTGTACAAGACATTTTATTGGCCTGCCCCTGTGGTTGTTTTTGGCTTGTACCTTTCATTTGATTACCTTTCACAGAGGAGGCATATTTTGCTCTTAGCCATTACCAGGTTGTCATTTTTAAGAACATACTTTATGTGCATGTTAAATTTTATACTTGCTCATGGAGTTAGTTACCTGGAGTTGTTTTAGTGTTTGTGAGGTGGTTTGAAGTCTGAATAATATATATCTTTTCCTCTTGGTAGCTTGTATTCTGTTTAATATTTAATATTTTCAGCAGGGGTTGGCAAGGGACATTAATCTTTTCTATTTATGGCCTTTTCTAAACATTTTTGCTGTTTTTCCAAAGAATTAAAGGTAAAACGCTCATATGGAGCAGGAAATTTGGAGTGCTACTTGGGATTGACTTAGGGGTTGCTGCAGTAGGGAACAGCTTTCTCCCTATCACACTGACAATGATTTTGAACTGCAAATCTGTGACATTGAGTGAACCCATGGGAGGTGAAGGCTGTGTGATGCATCTCCCCAGTCCCTTTGTATTAATGATTTCATTGATGTCCAAAGTGCGGCAGAAATGTGCATCCTTATCAGTCAGTGAGCTTCTCTGTGTTGAACCTGTGCCTGACTTTGGTGTTGCCAGAAGGATGCTGAGTGTTTCTCTCCACAGTCTTGATGGATCCTCAGTTATGGGGAGGGACCATTTGTTTTGGGAACTCTTTGAGTTTTCTGTGGTGTAAAATAGTTCTTCCTCTGGGAATGGAAACGGAAGGGTTGTTTCCTTGGCTGACTGAGGTGAAAGTTTGGATATTGCTAATGTTCAGGGTTAATGTTCACTTCTCATGACTGTGAAGGGAACAGTAATTATCTGTTGAGATAATGGTTTTGGAAGAATGAGATGAAGACTGAAGAAATGAAAAGATATGCAGGCAAATCTGACTCAGACAGTTATGGGTATATTTCTATTAATGCCCAGAGGTATCCTGGTATACACTTGTATACACACAGTGCCACTGAAGGAAAATAATTTTGGTATGGAGAGTACCCACCAGATAACTCAGAACCTTATGAAGAAGATGGCATGGGAGCAAATCCTTGCACTTATGGAAAAGACTGATCCTCTGGCCTTCATTTTCTCTCCTATAAGCTGGCAGAACTCCACTGAGGCCATTTGTATTCATACAGAGCAGACAGGAGTCTGGTATTTACAGTCTTAGCTGAAAGAATATGGAGCCAAATCAATTCCTGATTTAACTGCACTGAATATATAGTTATGTATATGACCCATTATCATTATGGGAAAAGATTTAAATGAAGAGCCAATGCAAATGAAATGTAAAAAACATATCTTGTACCTGTTCAAATACACAGGTTCTTTTGAAGTTTCTGTAGTTGTGGGTGCTTAGAACGTTGCTTTTTGCTTTAACAAAAATATCTTCTATATTTTGAAGTCCTGTGCAAATCATGAAACTTGTTTACACACCTAACTACTAAAGATTCTGATCTCCATTAATGTGTTTTTTTCCCCTCTGCATATTGACAAGGATTGGAAGTGGACTTTGCTTTATCTTGGAATTGCTTTTGAAATATCTGATGTCCTTTGTGAAAACATACACATTCGTATAAAGGTAGACTCTGAGTTAGCGATGCTACTCTAAATGCAGAAGTAAAAATAGGACCAAATTCCTGGTTGCTCAGCAACTTCATTTACATCATAGTGTGGGTAAACACACATTTGGTGCAAAAGTGTCTGCTTGGATAGCAGGCTGATTTATATCCTGTTGTCCTCTACCTTGAACTTTCCGTAGGAGCCTCAGCAGTATGTCGGTCCCAGCAGGGTCTGGGTGCTCACAGCCCTGCAAGGACACTGTGAGACAGGTCAGTCATACCGACCGAAGCAGCTGAAGCACAGCCTTGTGCTGGGGCTCCCTGCACACTCCGGGACACTTCAGCCAAGCGTGGCTGTTCTCCCCTGCTCAGCGGAGATGTGTGTTGCTGCAGCTCCTGAGGACAAGGCTTGGCTCAGGGATTCCTTGGGCTCCGTTCCCTTTCTGAGCCGCGCTGAGCAGGCAGCTCGCTGCCCTCCGTCCCGGGCTGCCGCTCAGCCCCTGCCTTTCCAAAGGCCCGAGTGGGGCTGAGCCGTGCTCAGGGCTCTGCTGGCCTCGGGAAGGGGCTCCTTGCCCGCAGAGCCGGCGCTGCTGGCAGCCCCGGGCATTCCCACCGCGCGGCGCTTTCTTGTGGCAGCTGTCGGTTGGCACAGCTGGGCCCGGGGCCGCATCTGTCCCGGGCCCGCGGCTGGGAGCCGCCTGCCTCTGCCCATCCCGGGCACACACAGCGCTCCCAGGCGCTCCGAGCCTGCTTATCCCTGGGGAAAACACGGCACACAGCTTTCTCTGCCACGGTGCTGAGTTGTAGAACAACTCAAAAACGGGGAGTTTGGTGAGTGTGTGATTGCTGGTGGCACCTTGTGTTTTGCTGGCAAGATACTGTAAGCCAGCGTTGCAGGTGTATGGGCTGTGAAATACCGCAAATTAGACTGAAAATGTTTTTAGTGCTTGTCTGTGACAAGTTTCTAAGAAGAACAGCAAGTGCTAAAAGGTACTGTCATTTTTATAGACAAGCTGCTTTATTTGCAATTGAAGTGCCCCACAGTTAAAATGAAAATCAATTTTAATGCCTTATGAAAATACAGAAATATTTGTCTCATTTACAGCACTTCCAAAAAGGACAGATAATAAAATTCCCCTGATTTATGATCTAAAATTTTATGTACTCTGTGGTATCTTGTTCAGTACATCTCTCCACATAAACATTCCAAAAGAATGAGGAAAGATAGATCTGAACATTCCTGAATCTAACTTCACACTGAATTTCAGATTGTAGAAACTCTATATTCAAAGCTGTCTTTGATCTGAATATTCCCAGACATTGGGGAAATAGATGCTTAACTTTAAAAATCACTAATCAAACATTTCTCTAGCAAGCACATAGTACTGATCTGGACTAAAAAACCCAAAGCAGTAAGAGACCTGCCTATATAAAAAGAACCAATGAAATGTGAAAAT